CGAACAATGACAAATCCGACCTCTTGTTCTCACATTTCAACGACTCAAATTGAGTTTCAAGCGTTTCAGTTTTGTCTATTTAACACAAAGTACAGGAACAAAACTCTCAAAATTGTCTCATTATACAAATCTTTCTTGACACGCAAATTGAGCTGGCAACGGTGGAATATGTGACCATTTCCCAGCAGCGCTCCGGAAGAAAGGGGCCTATCGAACAAAGCACATTAGCCCATGTTTCCGTGTCCTCCTGACCTGTCACCTGCTCCTTACACCCACTATAATTAGGTTCAGGAAAACGTCGCAGTGCATTGTGGGAGAGCAGAATAATCACGTTTTTTTTTTTGTTCCCTACTCCTCAGTGCAAAAGGGTGGTGTCTGTTTAAGTCCATAATTCTGGCTGTAGGAGATATGTCAATCACTTCCAGATTACATAAACGCCGCCTACGCAGGGTTCGACACAAGCTAAAAAATAAATAAAAAAATCAGACTGACTTTCCAAAAAATGTGTGGACTGTGAGTAAGTAATCTTTATTTATATAGCGCATTTCTACAGACCAAGGTCACCGAAAGCACTTGTGTGTGAAAGCGAGTTTTGATTAACACGTGAAACAATGTGTGGTGTGGGTTATGAGAGGGCACTACATACAAACCCTACTCCACCTCATCAAGGCAAGTTTATTTGTATACAGCACAATTCACACACAAGGCAACTGAAAGTGCTGAACAAAACACGATAGAAACAGTCACACATGGCGTTAAATAATCACAGTACATTAAAATGAGTGAAAGGTAAAATCCCTAAGTTTTATGCACAGCTGAACAGGTTTGTTTATTTAACCTGGATTAGAAGAAGCCTGTCTCTCATTTTCAGGAAGACTGTTCTAGATTCTTGCTGCATAAATCTGAAATGCAGCCTCCCCATGTTTAGTCCTGACTCAGGGCACTAGCGGGAGTCCAGTCCCTGTGCTCCTCAGAGTGGTTATCATGGTTGAAAGCTTTATGTACTGTACTTTATATTCAATGGCATGTGTAAGTCTATGGTATAGTGTATATAAATAGCCATGTTGAAAAGTTCTCCATAAACTAAGGAATGTAAATACTTAAGTGAGTAAGTAACTAATCTTTATTCATATAGCGCCTTTCACAGACCAGAGTCACAAAGCGCTTTACAATTGTGGGCATTTGTCTCTCACGCCACACAGAGAGCGGGGTTGCCAGTACAGGAGGTGCATGAAAAATAATAAAAAAATAAAAATCAATCACTCAATCTTCACTGATCATTGAACGCATGAAGCACTTTGGACATCTGCTCTTGAACGCTCTCTTCGAATAACAAAGCCTTTATAACATCTGTGTGGAGTGAGAGGACAAGTGCCCAAAAAATAACAATTGTAAACCGCTTTGTGACTCTGGTCTGTGAAAGGCGGTATATAAATAAAGCTTACTTACTTACTACTTACTTTATCGGCCATGGAAATCCAGCTTTTAAAAACAAGGGTCTCAACTGGGATTCCATTCTCTCTCTCTTTCTCTCTGACGGAAGCAACAAATGTTTATCGCAAATAATTCCACACAATCGACTGCCAATCAGCATCCAGTCAGAGTGTGATGACAAATGGCGGGAGAATGACAGTGCACGATGATAATAGAGAGGCTGTGTAATGTGACAACAGGGGAGAGCGGCGGCTTTTAAACGTTTTGCGCTCCTCCCCCCCGTACGTGAGATCACATCCTTCAGCCTGTTGTTTCGGAGATGCTTTATAGTCATGCCTCCATCTGCTCAGACTTGTCTTCAGCTGTATAGCGCTGTGTTCATCCCAGCGACATGGCGGCGACGACCAGGTGTAGCGCGACTTTCCCACGTCATGTCAATGTCAAAGTTTTTTTGTATAGCACATTTACAATCACACCAGCAGCCCAAAGTGCTTCACAGGCACGAAGGATGAACAGTAAAATATAACGGCGTAAAATACATACACATACATGTAAAAGTAAAATTGGTGTTAAAAGCCAAGGCGTAAAAATGTGTCTTTAGACTACACTTAAAAAACTTCTGCTCTAATGAACAAAGGTAGTCTATTCCACATTTTGAGGGCAGCAACAGAAAAGGCTCGGTCTCCACCAGTTTTGAGACGAGACCGGGGCACGTTCAACAAAAGCTGGTTTTCAGACCTCACTGATCTGACAGGAGCATACAGAGATTACAGCTCCGACAGATATGCAGGGACCAAACCATTTAAACATTTAAAGACAAGCATCAGAATCTTAAAATCAACCCTGAATGTAACAGGGAGCCAGTGAAGTGAGGCCAGCACGGGGGTGATGTGCTCTCTCTTACAGTATATGCCCCTGTGAGCAAGCGAGCAGCAGCACGACGAGTTTCATAAATCTAACCTAGATGAAATAAAAAGGTGGATAACTCGCTCAAAGTCAGTGGGTGGGACGTAAGCTCAGGGTCTTGTTTGTGCAGTGATGCCGCCGCTATAGGAGAGGGATGGGTTTTGAGCTGATCAACCCTTTAATGTTAACTTCTTGAAGGAAGCCATGTATTTTTTTAACTCCATTTTTTTTTTTATTACAAGCCTCTTTCAAATGAATGAGATGCAGTTCGATGTAAAAGCGCCTAAGACAAAAAGATAGCACCGCAACAGTTAGGGAGATTTAAGATCCAAGCTTCAAGTAGATATACAGGTAGTGACTCAAAAAAGTGATCCGCCAAATGGTTGAGGAAACCATCAAAGGGTTAAAGAAAGAAAGAAAGGTTCTGGTGTTGAGGATTTGGTGGAGTTTGCGTACGGAGACAAAATGTAGAATCTAAATGTTTATATATTACTTTGTTGTATTTATAACAAATCGCTTTGGGTGACCTTGGTCTATAATAATGCGCTATATAGATAAAGAACTTACTCACCGATTTGTTAGTTTGGTTTTGGTTATTTCAAATATTACAGAAAAACCATGAATCCCACAATAACAAATATTGATTCATGTTTTGTTATTGAAGTTATTTTAATATGGATAAAGATACATGAAGTATTCTATCATTATAAGTAAATAAGTAAGTATGTAATGTTTATTTTGATAGCGCATTCTAACAGACCAAGATCACCCAAAGCGCTGTACAATGTTCAGAATTCAGATATTTCTCTCCACACACGGTGATGCTGGAAGCGAGACACCGAAACACTCTGGTCCATCAAAGCCTCTGACCAAACACCACCCATCCACTCACTCTTTACATTCAGACCTTTTGTACACGTTTGCAGTGGTTGGGGAAACCGGAACACCCAGAGGAAACCTACACAGACACAGAAAGAACATGCAAACTCCACAAAGAAAAGCCTAAAAATAAAGTGAAATCGAACCCAGAACCTTCTTACAGTGAAGCACAAGCTCTAACAGTGGCAGTTATTTTAAACAAACCTATTATCGCTGCTGACCCCTCTTCGTAAAGCTCTATGTTGTTCTCTTTTTCCCAGAATACAGCTATTTGCCAGATTCCAGTGAAACATTTTCCATTGTAATGTTTTTCGTGTGCAAATGCTCAGAGCACTATCTCTGTAGAGGAACACGGCACATAACGGCGTGTCTACTGTATGTATCGCCAATATCTCTGATGTAATTATCTATATGTCAGAACACTCAAAAGCCTGCAGTCCTGAAATCAATAAATAGACGTATTAATGGGACAGTTTCAGAATGGATGTTCCGAGGGTCCCGGGGTTTCCAGGTCAGAAGCAGCTGTTGTAAGAAAATCACGCTGTTTGAACGACTCATTACGTACGAGTGACAAAACAATTATTTACTGCTGTTGAACAATAGAGAACACTAAGACATGGAGCTCACAGGTACACATCAGACAGGGCCCAACACGACAGGCTTTCTTGTTGTGTGCCCCTCTGCTTTGTTTCCCTGTTTCTACTTTGACTTTGTGTTGTTATGACTGTTTTGTATTGTTTGTGCTGACTGTGCAGCGCTTTTAGAACATGTGCTAAAATGCTTTGTGTTTCTGTGGCTGAAGTAAACCTCTGGAATGAGTTGGCTGTGTATTATTCAAACATATATTTATTGTAATTACTGAGCAGAAAGTAATGATAATTATGGTGTAAATGTCTTATTTTGATTTGTGTGCAGCAGCTGTTAAAGTTGAATGTGTACTAAAGGGAAGGCGTCTATATGCTTTAACTTCTGCATATTCCTTATTTTGACCTTTTGTCTAAAGTAAATTGATAAACTGAAACTTTGTGAACACTGTGTTATTTTATATATATATTACAGAGTCAGAACTAAACATGGGGAGGCGGCATTTCGGTCAGTCTTCCTGATGATGTGAGACAGGTTTCTTCTCTGACCATTTTTAAATCTAGGTTAAAAGCGGCTCTGTTTAGCTGTGCACACAACTGAGGGATTTTATCGTTACCCTTTTAAATGTACTCTGATTACTTATGATTTTGAATGCTTTGTGTGATTGATCTCATTCGGCCCAGCACTTTGAGTTGCCGTGTGCATGAATTGCGCCATACAAATAAATGCGCCTGCCTGCCTGCCTTATTTTCATTGTTATGGTCATTATTTTGCATTCTGCGTTGTATACTGTTCCATTGAATACTATTTTAAATAAATGAAATTAGTCGATTTAACGGAGTATTGTTAGCTTTAGATCAGTGTAAGAAAATCCTTCACTTTCTGCATTTGAATGAGCTGCGTGGGGCTAAAGCTCAGCGGACACTTCCTCCAGCGATGTGCTATTTCTGATTCACAACTGCAGAGTACTGGCAGCAGATATGAGTTTAAGGACTACAATAAACATTCCCGGAGCTTCCTATCCAACTCGCCCGGTGAATTTCCCCCTGAGTGGGTCTAAAGAGGTGCAATGCATTTTAAGAGCCCACTCATGTCATATGTGAGCGGAGTTGCTGTTTTGTAGGTACAACATGTATCCTTTGTAGCGGCCGCCTGTGCACAAATAGCCGGTGTGGAGAGGCTGTTGAACTTTGAAAATGTCAGCCAGTGCCCCTCACACAGAGGACTATCAACTCGCTCCCCCCTACCCCCTCCCCCCATCCTCAAAGTTTCATTGTGCTGACAGTGACCTCGCCAAGTCCCCTTTTGATGCTGTGTCTGAGCTCCAGGCACGAGGAGAGCGCAGGACAGATCACCCTCAGTTCAAACATGACTTCAGTGGGTAACCTTGGCTCTCGAGTTCCAGTGACCGGAAATAGCGGCAGGAAGAGACGAAGGTGTGAAGTGGTGGTAGCAGGGGGCACTTTCAAAGACAAAAAAGACTAGATTTGATAAAGTATTATACAATTGAACATGTAAAGGAGGTGGTTTTGGGGTTATTGTTGTGTGGCGCTGTCTCTGGTGCTGAAATACAATATGCTGAAGCCCAGTGTGCCAGGGCAAAAACAGGCATATACAATTATAATGGAGATGGAGAATGTCTATCAAATACACAACATTGTTTGGCAAAAGCAGGCAAAGCAAAACAATAACAGAATAAAATCAAACTAAAGCCCAATTCCAAAAACGGTCACTAGGTTATTGCGTTTTTAAAGTCTGTTTAATAAAAATCACCCGCAAGACTTGTAAATTCAACGCCCTGACCTGAGATGCCACATGCTTTGTGGCAAACGCACAATGGAAGTGTGGGACGGGCTTTGATGCAGATGAGTCTGAGCAGTTTTTCATGTTCTTACGTAAAGTTCTTCAACATGAGTGCAGCTCTGCGGCAGATTACAGCAGTATTTGTTCACGGAGCTGCGGCACAATAAACCAATACTTCCTTCTTGGCGCGTTGGTGTTAGCTGCTCTTGTATCCAGTCATGGTAAAATGTAGCCTGGTTGTACCACACTATAGCACAAATTACATTTCGTACTTAGGTCTGGAGGTGCTCTATTGAGCTCCGTTAACAGGTGAGAGAGGTTAACTCCTTTTGCAGATTGAAACGATTTGATCTGAGTTTACTGTGACGTATGTAATGAGCCCGAGTGAGTCGTTAGCATTTAGCATTTAGCCTAGCCATCTCCTTTGCCGCTAATGAAGCCCATGGGGAGTAGCACCACAGTCTGTGCCAGCAATTACATTTGCTAAACATTCTTCTTGCTCTCGCTTCAATTTCTTGATAGAACCAGACCGGATTACTTTACTATCGCATTTTTCGCCATTGCCCAACTACAACCCGTTCGGTGCAAATTATTGACGTCACCCAGCTATCTACAATACCCGCATTTCGCGCTCGCTGATTGGTCAGATGGAATTCAACTGATCGTAGCCGATTGTAATCGCAAACACAGCGACCAGACCCAGATGTTACATGCAGGGAAATGGTTATTGAGCAGAGTGTACGGATGGCTAAGGCCAGGCTAGGTAGAATGTGAACTCGGAGTGAAGCCATATGTCCACAAGCACAGCCCCCCATTGTCAGTCCTGCTTTTGTCCTTATTCAGCTCTGGTTTTAGCTGTTTTTTGAGTGTCTTCCTCCTGCTCTGAGCGACTTGTGTCCCCTGCCGTACTGTTTGGTGGGAACGAGGCTTCAGAGATATAAGAAAAATGTAGGGAAACGTTTATGTGAAGGTCGTACTATACATTTATTAGTATTACCTGGTGTCAGGCAAATGCTTGTGTCGCTCTTCTTGAATCACAGTGATTGGAAATGTGTGTCATAACAGTAGATCATGTGTCCATAGAGTCCAAGTATCGCTCTGTGCTGCCTCAATGAGGACTGTGTGGATCTGTAGAGCTAACACCAGAGCCTCATGGAGTGGGGACTGTGTGGTCAACATGGTGCTTAAACTTTTGATCAGTATCTACAGCGCTCCAGGGTAAAAAAAAATTGTAGGTTTTCTGTCCCACAGCAGAGAAAATCCAGCAAAACAGTTGATCTACAGACCACTGTGGAAAGTACAGGCGCCATGCTGACCACTCATACAACCACTGGGTCCGTATAAGGACAACTGCGGCAAAACAAAACAACACAATTTCACATATAAAGTTGGATACCGCCCCTTTAAGGCAAAAGATGAAACAGCTTAAATTTGAATCATACGGCGAATGTTGTAAGTACAAAAAGATGATTCTCTTTTGAGGAGTTGCCATCCTTGCACGCATGCTGTTTTTTCTATTGATCAAAACACATCATATTTCTGTGCTCCCTTCTGCATCCAAAACACGCCTCTATGTTCTTTCTCACAATATTCCCCTTCCTGTTTATGCGCATTACGGCTCTCTTTGATTGCTTACATGTTTTTGTGTATATGCTACAGCGAACAGCAGCGTCTGATCTCCCTTGGGTCACTGCAGAGAAATGTAAATAACATATTGTGGAAGAGGGGGGAAACAATGTGGCTTTGTCCTATAGGAATGGCCCCTTCCTTTTTAAAATACAAAGATGTAAATATAATTGTATAGAGTGAAGTAGACTGAGTTGATTTTAATATTTTGTATTTAGTGCCCTTGTGTATAGCAGTAATTTTAAGAAAGGTTGTACTGATTCGGTATTTATTTTTGTGCATGCCTTATTCTGTTTTTACTTTTATAACTTGTTTGCACCCAGAGCCATATGTTACCCACAATATAAAAATTATTCTGGAAATAACAAAAGCAGCGTGACTTTTAAATGGCAGTAACTTTGTCTTCAAACATATTAAGGGGGGGGGAACTGCGGTTGTTGACTCCTAACCTTGGTTCATGTCCGCCAGCTGCAGTAAATATAAAAAATAATGTTATTGTGTTCTTGTGGGTCTCTCCTCCACGCTCTTTCTTCCTCTCATTTTATAAAGCGGTCTCATGGGGCCCTTTGTGAAGCTCCGGAGTGCCCCCATGTGGTCTGTAACTGCACTTGTTTTTGAAGCTTCCTGTGTGACCTCTGCTGTGGGATAGAAGAAAAGGCTGTTTTAATTACAACTTGATTCTAGTCCCCAGTGGATAGAAAGGTGAGCTGTAAAGAGTGGAAGCTACATTCTGCAGCTGGAAACAAAATATCAGCAAAATCGAAGAAGGACGAAAAGTATTGCAGGTTTTGAGCTTTCAAATCTATGAGTGAAAGAAGGAGACAAGTTTAATAACCCTCGCAACAGATGCATTTGTTTGGACTTAATTGTTTGATTTTGGTTTTCAGTGAATGGATTTGTTAGCAAAAACTGTATCAAACAGTTGTTTTTTTTTTTTTTTATGTAACTCTTTTGTTTTGATTTTCTTGACTGTGGTCTTGCCTTTGTTTGGACCACGCAGTCATTTAGCAAAAATACAGAAGGGAAAATCTGAAATAAGGGGATCTTCATTCTTTGCTGCTTGTATGGGATTTTAAAAGGAAAATCAAAGAAAGAAAAAACAAAGAGAAAAAATTAACTACGAATGAAAAATATGCTACTTGGGAAGACCAGCGGTAACACCAGGACACAGGAGTCTTGAGAAAAAAGTCTGGTCTATTTTGTCTGGTCCATTTTGTAGAGATACGTTTTCAAAATATGTGTCTGGACTGCGAAAGATGACAAAAAAGTGAGTCAAAAATAACTTCCTATTGGATCATATGGTTTTAATCTAAGAAAAATATATATATTTGACTTCTGTCTCATCTTGATCAGCTTCCTTGACTGCCAAAAGTGTCAAATAGTGACTATATAGCAATCTTTCTTCAAAGTGTAATGTAAAATATAACATGTTTGCCAATACATGATGTGGTTTGATTTGTTCGCAGAATTTTACTTTTATTAGACTCATTCTGTTGGACAAACCACATGTGTTTTGATTCATGAAACAAAAAGTTGAGCCTGTCAAAAGGTACTGATGATGCCTTTATACTTTGTCTAATATCTCACCGGTTTCTGCAGTGCAATATTAGTGGTTCTTGCTTCATTTAAAAAGGTTCAGAGCTTTTGGTTATTTTACCATCATCAACGTTCCAATCAAACTGTTTCATATCTAAAAAACCAACCAGGGTTTCGCAATATGAGCCTGTTTGGATTGATCTCATCAGCTCTGACTGCGTGTGTGTTCTGTGTTGCAGGGAGCACTTTGAACCTGACGTGCCGTGCCTTTTTCGGCTACAAAGGAGAAGCGGCGCCGATCATGTACTGGATGAAAGGGGAGAAGTTTGTGGAGGACTTGGATGAAGAAAGAGTTCAAGAGAGCGAAATCAAGTAAGACGCTATTTCTACTGTATGGCCTTGTGTTGTGTTGTGTTGTGTGTCTTGGGTTGATGGGGTGAAACAGAATGCAGGCGTTTACTTCATACAATCTCTTTTCAAACCATGCACATGTAAACAGTCTCAGAGGATTATTTAAGATGTCTTGTGGAGATCTAAATATTGGTCATATTTGAAGTTTTTGAAATCTATTAGCTCTCGGCTTTAAAATAGCAATATGTAAGATTTTCATGTCAAGTCATCATTAAATGGCCCTAATTTGTCAAAATCTGTTCAAATACTTTTTAGACTGATGACAGTAGTTCAACCAGGATAGGCAAATTTCAAAATAGTTTAGATCAATATAAAAAACAGCATGTGTGCAAGGGTGGCAACTCCTCAAAAGAGAATCATCTTTTTGGACTTACAACATTTTCAATATGAGTCAAATCAAGCTGTTTACATTTCGATGTCCACCGTTTGACCAATCAAAAAGTTTGTGACCCCGGTTGCCAGAACTACCGGCATCGAGCTAATCTCACTGGTAAAGTAACATGTGGCCGCTGAACTAAAAAAGGTCTCGTTATGATTCTCAAATCATTTATGACAAAATAAAAAAGGTGTTGGTTATAGATTTGTTGTTGAGAAAACTTGTCTATTCAGCTATAATGGTCCCAGCTGGATTCGTCTGCATATCTGGCAACCTGAGTCAGGGAGAGTGCAGTACCACTTTTGGCCAGATTTGTACATTCTGCTCCTTTAACTTTATCCCATTGGGCTGATGTGTTACCCCGGCATACAGTAGGTACATTTCTCCAAATCCTTTCTTTCACTCTAAACAAAGAAGCAGGACAACAGTGGCTCAGAGTATCGGTCTTTGGGTTGTGGGTTCAATCCCCCCTACTCCATCCTCCCACTGCTGCTGTTGTGTCCCTAGGCAAGACACTTAAGCTCACTCGCCTGAAGCCCCCGCTGAAAAGACCAAGGGTATGTTGTCGCTGCAGAAGGATCAGTGAGGAACCGGTGCTCATTTGTCAAGAGCAGTAACACTTTGATTAAAAAAAGGGAAATACACCAAAATAATTACAGATGTTTTCAAACCTTCCACAAATAAATAATTATTTTGGTTTTCATGTTTCCTATCTTTCGCTTATTCAAACTAAACCCAAAATCGGTCAATATTCAAAAAGTCTATATGTAATAACAAAAAAAATCATAATTGCAAACTAGCTCATCAACAGCCTCTTTAAAAATGTTATTAAATCCGGCACATTTGGTCGACAGAACACCTGTATCGGCCGATCTTTTGTGAAGGCTTGAAATTAAATATAACTGAATACAATAATTCAATGTCGCAGCGAAAGACTGTGATCGTGTGTGGAGCTGTCCCAGGTCCTGAAACACTCTGTTAGTATAAACGCATTATCCGGCCTCTTTGTGGAGCAAGAGCAAATCACTGAATGACATTTAAGAGATAAATAAATGCTCTAAGAGGGGCTGACTGTTTTAGGCCATTAACTTTATAATGAAAATGATATACGCACGCAAAGATTTAGTCTGCCATCTTTCAAAAACACCCATTAGTTTCCATTGTGTTCTGTTCTTATATCATGCAGATACGAAGATCATTAGTCAAAGTGAATATGTATTTTGGCACTTTTAGTTTTATTAGACACAATAAACATGTCAACCGCCAAGGAGGCTGTGTGCAACCTCGTTATCTTTTATTGCCCAATGAGAAGTAATGATATCAAAATACAGTTTAATGCTAATGGTGCCAGATAAGACTGTGTGTGCATTAATAGGGAAAGATACAAGCAATGTCAACGCACACACACACACACACACACACAGGGAAGAATCTCAGGACACAAATAAGATGAGTGGCGCACTTTGAATAGAATGAGTTTTAATAACAATGAATGAGTAAAAATAGTTGTGATTTATCCCAGCCCCGAACAGCGCTGTTGTGAAAGTGCAGAAAAGGACTGGGGCGCAGTGTTGCAGTGGTTAGTGCTTGTGCGTCACAGGAAGAAGGTTCGTTTCCACCCTCAGGCATGGCCTTCCTGTATGGAGTTTGCACGTTCTTCCCGTGTCTCTGTAGATTTCTTCATGTGCTCTGGTTACCCCAACCCTTGAAAATAGGCAGTCTGGTAGTAGTCATTTGCATAATTACAACGACTTTGGTGACATTAAGTTTTCAGTTGAATATTTAGCTAAAGTCATGTGGATTAGACTGAATAAATGGAAATTCTGAATGTAACAGAATAAGTAAAAACTTATATATTCTTTAACATAATGGATTTTATTACACCTAAAAAATATTCATCTTTTCCATATTTATTTTACAATCTCAGACAGAGGATACAGATCATGTCACGTTCCAAAAAACAAAAGGCAATAACGGGAAGGGTTTGGGCTGAAGTGAGGCACTTTTCGGAGCCTAACTCTATTGCTACAGCTTAGAAAATCAAACAGCTCTAAAACCAATGAAAACATGTACAATAGGTGAGGGCTGAATGAGTGTGTTTGAGAGTGTGACTGTGGGACTAAAGTCTGGTGCATTTACAGCTTCTGACGTTCACGTCCAAATACACTGTCCCATCCAAATACACAAATAGACACAGCTTCTAGCACTGGTTTCCACATGCATGTTTTTTGTCCTATCACAGAAAAGCAATATGTTGTTTATTATGTGTTTATATTTCTGAAAACTGTAGAATTAAACTCATTGTTTTATATTTAACTATTCAACTTCTAATGATGTATTGGGTTGACATTTTAGAATCAATTACATTTGGTTGTTTGCCTGAGAATATAGATGATGTGTAACGTGCCATGGTCGGCCATTACCAGTTACCAAGTTAGTAATATTAATAATTGAAAATCATTTTAGAGACGATGAAAAATTGTCTCGCAAGCCTGACTTTGACATGCCTGTTTTAGGGGGAAAAATAAAGTTATGTTCTCCAGCTCTGAAATAATAACCACATTTGCAACATCCTGTATGTGAAAGTATACCACACACACACACACACACACACACACACACACACACATATACATATACAAACAGCCTTTTCTTTCCCTGTCACCATCCCCGACAACATGCAACACATTTCTCTTTTGCCGCACGTGACGATATTCCAAACAAACCCTTCTCCGTGTCGTTTCTGCCTCTGCGGCTGTACGACACATTTAAACAAGTGGCTCTCCAAGTCCGTGTGCGTGTTTCCCATTAGGCCTGTTTGGAAAAGGCTGCAGCTCTGGGAGAGGGGACCTGTCAGATGGTTAACAACCGCCATTTTTCACACCGCTGCCACCAATCCCCCGCCTCACGTACCTATACAGGCATGCAGATGGGCTACGAGGGGAAGGGGACAGCCAATATTTGAAATTCTCCGGGTTTTGATTGGACGTGTGTGTGTGTGTGTCTGTGTGCGTGTGTGTGTGTGTGTGTGTGTGTGTGTGTGTGTCGTTGGCCATTACTCACTAGCCCCAGGATGTGCAGCGGGCTAAAGGGAGTAGTGTTTAATAATTCATTGACGTATACTTCATGCAGTGGTTCAATCATTTGCTGTATGCCATCGTCCTAACTGCTGATTTGATGTTAGTTCTTGGTATTTGGGTCTGCAGTGGTGTTTCGGTCTGGTCGGTCCTGGATCCAGATTAAGCCGGATGTTGATGTGTGAATCGATGCAGACTATTGAAAAGGATTAGTAACCTGTTTTGGTTATGTTGGAAGATGGCCGTCATAACAAGATGCACTTCTATTAATCCCCGTAGGGCAATTCATTCACTGCATTTGACCCATCCTGATGCCACTAAGGCTTACGTCAGGAGCAGTGATCGCCGTAGTAACAGCGCCCGGGAACCCATCTTCAGATGTTGACGCTCGGCTTGGTCAGGACTACCAGAGCTGGAGGATTTTTCCCTAGTGTGCATGGTTTTAGTGGTAGGGGAAACCGGAGCACCCGCAGGAAACCTACGCAGGCACGGGGAAAACGTGCAAACTCCACTCAGAAAGGCCCTGTACCGACCAGGATTTGAACCCAGGGCCGTCTTGCTGAGAAGCGGGTGTTCTATCCACTCAGCCACCGTTCCGCCCAAAGACGTATTCACAATTGATAATAATAATAATTATCTTTAATAATCTGTAAAAAAAAAAAACACTCAAGGAGCACTGGATGGACTCAGACTCAGACTACTTTACTTTATCCCACCAGGGGCAATTTGTTTGAGCAGCACAGGGCATAAAAAACACATAAAAACACAGGAAATGTCAGACAGTAACTTAAGTGATATGATATGAACAAGATATGAACAAGCTGCAGAGTGGAGAGATGTGAAGAAGAAGAAGAAGTTTGTCAAAAGTGTTGATTGGTTTTACAGTAGCACTTGCGCCACCTCCAGGGTTTTTCTATGTGGAGTTTGCTTGTTCTTCTCCGTGTCTGCGTAGGTTTTCTCCAGGTGCTCCGGTTAACCCTACCACTAAAAGCGTGTATGATAGGTGAGGGTTGAATGAGTGTGTATTTGTGAGCGCGACTGTGGGACTATAGCTACAATCTGGTGTATTTATTACTCCTGTTCATTAAGCTGTTAGCTGCTTTTAGAATGATTGATTTGTTTGGTTTTGTTTGTATGGATGGATGTGTTTCTGCAGCTTCTGGAAACATGAATTTCTCCGACAGGAATCATTAAAGCATCTATCTATCTATGCAAATAAATAAATAATATTGCTTCATTCTTCATTCACTCGTCCATTCATAAAAGGTCATTCTAACCTTCTACAGTAGCCACAGCAGGGAAACTGACCCTAATCTCCGACCACCACCAATCACTCACGCACCCCCCACACTCATACTAGACCATATGGGTGAAGTGTCTTGCCTAAGGACACGACAGCAGCTTGGAACTTTATACAGCCAATGACATGGTTCTGTCTGATTCGTTTGTTGACTTATTTGTAGGGCTAGGTTGTCCTGGATACCATCTAAAAATCAAACCATTTGTGC